GCTATGGCGGACAAAACCAATAATCCAAAAGAAGGCTAAAACCACCAAGAACATCCTGCTGAGGCTTGAATGTGTTCAGCCTAACTGCAGATCCAAGAGGGTGGCCATTAAGAGGTGCAAGCACCTGGGAAGGTGGCTCAGCGGTAGAGCGCTTGCCTTGAGCTGAAGAGCTGAGTGCCCAGGCCCAGAATTCAGGCCCACAACACCCAAAGGGGAAAAAAAAAGTTTCTTATCAGTTCTATTTATACTGTGTATATGCTTAATTCCTTCCTACATGGAGTCCTGTATTAAGACTTGACAAATTACCTCTCATGTTAAAAGCCTCTCCACATCTGACCTGCTGAAGGAAGCACATCCCCAAGGAGTGGCATTTGGCACACTGCAATAATTCTCTAGATAAGCCCTATATTGAGACTGGAGATATGGCTCAAGTTGTACAGTATGAATTCCTAGAATGAGGATGGCTTCAGGGGGAGGACAGGGTTTTACCAGACGTTCTAAGAACTGATCCAAACATGTTCTGGGACTCCACAGGAAAACTGTCATCTGCCCGATCATCATCACACAGCAATTACACAAAGAGTCAACCTTTCTGAGCCATGACTAACAATTCTCCAATGATAACCTCCCCAATCAAAGACAAGACAATGAGTCTAAAGTTCAAGCTAATAAACATCAAGTAACTAGAAGAAAGTGTTTTCCTAAATAGTTAATCATCTTTGGGCCTTAAACTGAGAGGATGTATCCAAACATAGCAATCTCACTTCTTGAAGACATTAGAGGTTTCAGGACTGAAGTTGTTTCCTTCAGAAACCTATTTCTTTATTATGAATATTAAGCTATGTGTGAAGAGCCAAAAACATGCCAAAATTAAGGGAAAAGATTCAAAAAACTTTAAGAGTGGCATGAGGTTGTTTTATTCATTACAATCTACTCATTACAATAAATAAGGCTTAAGTCCATTCAGTAGCCATGTTAACTATGTGTTATTTTTAAACTTTGTATCAAACAGCCAAGTAGAACAAAACTTAGAAAAAATAAATACCAAGACTCACTTTTTAATTTCTCGAAGCAGCATTCGGATAAGGATCGTCTGAAGAGGTTCAACCATCAATTTCCTCCACATATCCAATGCTAGCTGCCAGGAAAAATAAAAATCATCAAGGCTGAATTAAGTAATTCGACATTTGTTCAAATTTTTTGTAAAAGTAAAAATACTCATCAAGAGAAACGTTAGTAATATTTCAAAATATAAAAAGAAACTAAAGGAGGGCTGGGAAGGTGGCTCAGTGGTAGAGTGCTTGCCTTGCATGCATGAGGCCCTGGGTTCGATTCCTCAGCACCACATAAGCAAAAAGGAAAAAGCCAGACGTGGCTCTGTGGCTCAAGTGGTAGAACGCTAGCCTTGAGCTGAAGAGCTGAGGGACAGTGCTGAGGGACAGTGCTCAGGCCCAGAGTTCAGGCCCCACGACCGGACCAAAAAAAAAAACCTATGAAAACAGAAACATCTCGCTATAGTAATGACTGGCACTGCTATACAGAATTCTATTATTTGAATGTGGCATGGCTTAATTTTCCATTCCACTGCTGACATGGACTTGTGATTCCAGTTTTTATCTGAGAAAAATGCTATTATGTAAAATCCCTATTATATTTAATTACATAGAATTTTCTTACTCACATAAGCTAGATTCCCTGGCATACATGTAAAAGTTGAGGTGTTGTATGCTGGGCACACATGTGGCTTTACTAGGCAAAGCTGCATGGTCTTCCACTCCCCATAGCATCCCATGGCAACTGGTGCAAATTCCACCAGCAGCCTACATCTTTGACAGTAACTGCCAGGCTTTTGTCAAGTGCCAATGTACTAATCTGTGCTTGGTTTTTGTTCATGGTTGTTCTGTTTTTTAATGTTTAATCAGTTTTTGTTGTTTTGTTATTGCTGAGATTTCTCTGACTTTGTTTTCAAATGGACTCACTATGTTAGCCCAGGCTGGCCTCAAATTCTTCATCAGCCTCTGCCTCCCAGATGTTCAGATTGTAGATGTGTCATTATCCACTGGTGGCATTTTTGTTTTTTGTCAGTCGTGGGGCTTGACCTCTGGGCCTGGGCGCTGTCCCCCAGCTCTTCACCTCAAGGCTAGTGCTCTACCACTTGCTCTACCACAGCACTACTTCCAGTTTTCTGAGTGGTTTATTGGAAATAAGAGTCTCAAGGCCTTTCCTGCCTGGGCTGGCTTTGAATCGAGATCCTGAGATCTCAGTCTCCTGAGAAGCTAGGATTACAGGTGTGAGCCACCAGTGCCTGGCTTAACACTGTTTAAAATTGAACACCATCTGGGCATGTTGGCATGCACTTGTATTCTCAGCTCTTAGAAGCTATGGCAGGATGAACTAAACTTGCAGGCCAGCCTGAGCTAAAAGACAAGGTCCCATCTCAAAAAAATAATAAAAATAATAATGAACAGGCTAGGTGCCAGTGGCTCACACCTGTAATCCTAGGTACTTGGAAGGTTGAGATCTAAGTATCATGGTTTCAAGCAAGACCAGGCAGGAAAATTTATGAGACTCTTATCTTCAATTAACCAACCAAAAAAAGTCAGAAAAAGAGCTGTGGCTCAAGTGGTAGAGTGCCAGCTTTGAGAAGAAAAAAAAAAATCAGGGACAGGGCTCAGACCAGAGTTCAAGTCCCAGAACTGGCACAAAAATAAATAAATAAAGACTAAAAAATGTCAAGCCAGGAGCCAGTGGCTCATGCCTGTAATCCTAGGAGGCTGAGATCTGAGGATCTTGGTCAAAGCCAGTCTGGGCATGAATGTCCTTGAGACTCCTATCTCCAATTAACCACCAGGAAACCAAAAGTGGCACTGTGGCCTTGAGCTGAAGAGCTGAGGGACAGCACCCAGGCCCAGAGTTCAAGCCCTACAACTGACAAAAAAAAAAGTTAGACACTGGTGGTTTGGTGGTTCATGCTTTTAATCCTAGCAACATAGGAGGCAAAGATATGAGGATTCTAGTCCGAAGCCAGCTTGAAGAGAAAAACCCTGACACTTCATGTGACTCTTATCGTCACTTAACTAGTCAAATACTGGATGTGGAGATGTGGCTCAAGTGGCAGAACACCAGTCCTGAGCAAAACAACAAAGATGGAGGCCCGAATTCAAATCCCATTACCAGCACACGTGCATACCTGTGTGCACATAAAATTAATCTAACATTGAAGTTATAATATAGGGGTTACAGGTATGGCTCAGGTGGTACAATGCCAGCCAATGAAGGAAAGCATGAGATACTAAGTTAGTTCCAATCTGGGGGTAGGGAGTAAGCTGATATATGTATGCATATACATGTGTATATGTATGTATGTGTGTATGTATATATTATAGACATACATACAAGCTGAAATATATGTATATATTATACACATACATATAAGCATATACATATGCATACATATATGTACATAAGGAATGCAAATACAGGAAAGCTACCAATCAAAATGAGTAGGTTTTGATGGTACTGGTGCTCAGGGTAACTGAAAGCAAGTACTATTAAGATTTGGGGTTAGGGGAGGGCTGGGAATGTGCCTTAGTGGTAGAGGCTTGCCTAGCATGCATGAAGCACTGGGTTCACTTCCTCAGTACTATATAAAAAGAAAAAACAGAAATGGCACTGTGGCTCAAGTGGTAGAGTGCTAGCCTAGAGCAAAAGAAGCTCAGGAACAGTTGCCCGGGCCCTGAGATCAAGCCCCAGGACTGGGGGAAAAAAAAAAAAAAAAAAGCTAAGCAAGAACATGAGGCCCTGAATTCAAACTACTTTGTTGGGGGACTAAGGATGTATTTCAGTGACAGAACACTTGCCTAGCATCTGCAAGGCCCTGGGTTGGATTAGAACACCAACAAAATGAACAAAAATGACTTTTGGTTCATCTCACACTTTTTCCTCTGCATCTTTTTTCTCTATCATTTTATTTTATTAAACATAGATGTTCAATTTTTTTCAAAATTTATTTTCCCCTTGGTGAGGTTTCTATTAAGTTATTCACTTATTTACCTCTATATATTCTGTGTATGGATTTTATTGTTGGATTTCACAAAGTTAAATTGTTTACCTATTATCTGCCATCTAAGAACAGCTGTTCAAAGATACTTTTAACTTTTTTTTCCTTATTATTTTTCAAGTGTTTAAAGGGCTGGGGTAAGCCTGGTGCTGGTGGGTCACACCTGTAATCCTAGCTACTCAGGAGGCTGAGATCTGAGGATCTCAGTCCCAAACCAGCACTGGAAAGAAAGTCCATGAAACATTTGTCTCCAATTAATCACCAGAAAACCAGAAGTGGCGCTGTGGCTCAAAGTAGTAAACTACTAGCCTTGAGCCAAAGAGCTCAAGGACAGCACCTAGGCTGGAGTTCAAGATCCAAGAATAACAAAAAAAAGAAGGGGGGCTAGGGTGAAGAAAGTAAACTCAGTGGCAGAGTGCTTGCCTAGTGTGCACAAGGCCCTGAGTTCCATTTCCAGCATCACCTCCTCTTCTACCCACACATGTTGAACATTTTAAAATCTATTGAAAGACACTGATCAATTTCTTTCTAAGAGGAATATGCTAATTTAAATTAGTAATATTGGTGCATCTCAGCTATTTCTTTCAGTAACATTCATCACAAGTTAACATTAATTTTTTCTTTTAGTCGGTTGTGGGGCTTGAACTCTGGGCCTGGGCGATGTCCCTCAGCTCTTCAGCTCAAGGTGACTGCTCTACCACTTGAGCCACAGCGCCACTTCCAGTATTCCAGTGCTTTACTGGAGATAAGAGTCTCACAGACTTTCCTGCCTGGGCTGGCTTTGAACCATGATCCTCAGATCTCAGCCTCCTAAGTAGCTAGGATTACAGGCATGAGCCACTGGCACCCAGCTAACATTAATTTCTTTATCTGCTTTCCTCCATGATCTTACAAGTGTCCTGTAGACAAGGACCTCTGTCTGTTTACCCCCAAATGCGTGGCTATACAATAAATATCAAATAAATTTGTACAGAGTATTTAAAAAATCAGTATATAATTTTTCACATTTAAATCTGCACGAATGGGGGAGGGAAGGGATGGTGGGAAAACACAAAGGAGGAGGTAACAATGGTGGACAAGAAATGTACTCATTACTCATGTAACTGTAACACCTCTGTATAGTATCTTTACAATAAAATAAAATTTTAAAAAATTGCACTAAATCCCCAAAACTTAACTCAAAATTTTGTTGTAGGGGCTGAGAAGGTGGCTCAGTGGTAGAGTGCTTGCCTTGTATGCCTGAGGCCCTGGGTTCGATTCCTCAGCACCACATAAGCAAAAAGAAAAAAGCTGGAAGTGGCGTTGTGGCTCAAGTGGTAGAGTGCTAGCCTTGAGCTGAAGAGCTGAGAGACAGTGCCCAGGCCCAGAGTTCAGTCCCCACGACCAGACCCAAAAAAATAAAAAATAAAATAAAATAAAATTTTGTTGTATCTTTATGTTTTAAGTAGCGTAAGTAGTTTGTTTGATCCATTATCTGTTTCTTCTCATCTAACTACTTTTTAATTCTTTGTCCTTTGTACTTTTAAATTACAGGAGTCAGCATTCCTAAATAATTTCTGAGGTTTTTTTTCCACACTGCAGAATCATAAATCCTATTATTCATCTACCATAAATTTAATTAGAAAATAGCAATTTTCCATATTTTTCTGTCTCCAATCTATTAAAAGATTCTTAGAAATCATAGCATTTGGGCTGGAAAGGTGGCTCAGTGGATAGAATGCTTGCCTAGCATGCATGAGACCCTGGGTTCAATTCCTAAGCACCGCACAAACAGAAAAGCCAGAAGTGGCCCTGTGGTTCAAGTGGTAGAGGCTAGCCTTGAGTTGAAGAGCAGAGGGATAGCGCCCAGGCCCAGAGTTCAGGCCCCATGACTGACAAAAAAAAAAAAAAAAGAAGGAAATCATAGCATTTTATTTACACTAGAATGTTTTAATCTTGACAATATTAAGATAATCAATTTGGTATCCTTTTTTTTAAAAAAGACATTGAATAAAATCATTCAATATATTAAAACACTTATGTTTGCAATCATTTCAAAAAATGTATTACCTCTCCTATTTCCATAAGTGGTTCATTCATATCTACTCCACCATAGCCATACTGAAGATCAGCTTCAGTCAACTTATTCTTTTTAATAAACTGAGTGTTGAGATACCT